GAGTCAAAATTTGGCCATCTACTTGTTAATCCTTCCTACTCCAAACAGGGCTGAATTAGCATTCCTCTTCCCAAAGGTTGCTTCATATCTACTGGCCTTGTTAGGGGCAGAAATAGAATACTAGGGACTAGCTACAATTATAAAAAAATATTAATAATGCTGTTAACCGTGATGGTTCTGTTCTGATTAGAGAAAGTGCATTCTAACCTGGCTGAGAGTTATATGCTTGGGGACGTGGGAGCTAACATCAGAATGCAGTCCATCCTCCTTTCCCGAGAACTGCCTATCATTATGGAAAGATTTACAACCTCGTGGCTGAAACAATCTAGTCCTGGAGGCACCTGCCCTTCGCAATCCCCAGCCCCTATTGCCTGTAATCTCAGAGGTGCCCAAAGGCACCCACTCTCTGCAACCCCCACACAGCCCACATTACTAGTAACCTGTAATGATTATACTGTGCCTACTTTCCTATAATTCTTACTTTCTCCCATAATCTTTGTCCTCTACCCAATATAAGCAGCTGTCTTATGGGGAGAGTCAGAGCAGATTTTTGTGGATGACCTGTTCTCCCATATTGCCAGCATTAATGGAATAAACATTCATATATGATTCTGATGGGGAAAATGAGACATTTTAGGGGGGGCTAGCAATCAATCTGTGCCAGTAACCTAATGCACATTCTTGTTAGCCTATAGTCTAGTCCAGTGATGGCAAACCTATGACACGTGTGTCAGAGGTGACACGCGAACTCATTTTTTTTTGGTTGAATTTTTATTAAATGGCATTTAAATATATAAAATAAATATCAAAAATATAAGTGTTTTACTATGGTTGCAAGACCTGTTTACCTAAAGTACTATTCCCATTTTAGAGGCCATAATCCATGAACAATACACAAGCCCCAGATGGAGTTATCAGTGCTGGCGCCAGGCCAGGCCTTGAGATGTGGTCTCAATGCCCCCATCCCAGCACATGGGGCTTTTTGCAAAGCCTGCAAAAGGTCCAGAAGTATGATCCATATTTGGGGGACAAAGAAACCAAAGGGTATAAACGGAAAGCTTCCTCCATATTGGTTTGCTCGGGATTTGGACAGAAACAGCCTCCCCGGAGTCCTGTACTAGTACATGAGAAACATCTGAAAATAAATGGGTTTTTCCTGTGCCTCTGGTACTCCTGTTTATTTTTCAGTCGCCTGGTAAATTCTTTAACAATTCAATCCTGTCTCTGCTTAATTGGCTCAAGTAGTGACCAGACCCCTTGGTTGTCCGGTTACAGCTTCTGCCAGTTCCTGGGAATCAGCTCTGGTCTCAGATCCTTATTGCTTCTTCATTCAGCAGCCTCAACTATTAAGCTGTCCCTTTGGTGGGGAATTGGAATACATATGCCACAAAAGAATTCTACATAAAATAAAATTTATTATTCAGCATTTTGAAAACCACAATTCAGCAACTTCTAGTGTTTTGCAAGTACTTATGATCCAAAAGTTATTTCTGAATTGAAAATTATGTTCAGTAAAAACTAAGTTAAAAACTTTTTGAATAAAGCAATCTATACTTCTGGCTTAGGTAAACTACAATATTGTTACATTCAAATATTAAATGTCTTAGATGTAGTTACTCCAAATTATTAACCGAATTTCTTTTTGTAACTAAACAATATTTGACCAAAATAATAGTTATTCTTTCATTTGGCAAATACCACTTTATAACAACAAACTGTTCTAACACAGAACTTTATTTTTATATAATAAAGTAAGTTATGATTTTTGAAAAAAGTTTAAAATGTTCAGCCTTCATGTTAATGTAATTAGACTATCTAAAAGACAAAGCAAAAAATTAACATTGTCATGGTCCAGGGTTATATTTATGAAAAACAAATACAAGACTTATGGGAGGGACTCGGTAAGTAAAGACAACCAAAATAAACTGTATGTCAAATCTGTTTAAATAAAAACATTAAAGATCACTTTAAAATAGTGTCCATCTTTCCTTTTAAATGGGCATGCACTCATCTGCAATCATGTACAAATATAATAAACTTGACTAATATCTTTCTCAAGCTTTTAATATAAATACAAATCCTTGCTTCCTTATGTAAACCAACAAAATAATACAAAGTGAACTTGTTAGAAAAATATGGACCTTTCTGAATCTATATTGCATTTTAAATTTAAATTGTAAAACATAGTTCTAAGTATATGAAACCCCTGTTGACTTATTATTACCTGTATCTTACATATTATTACATCTGGTCTTTATTTTGGCTGAAATGCAAAAATATACTTAATTTCGTAGTAACAGATTAAAAGTATTTTCCATTGATAACAATGCTATTCCTAGCACAAAACATAAGCTATGCAAATGCCTTAATATACACCAAGCCCTTAATATACATTTATTGCTTTAAAGTTTACTGAATGGAAATCTGACATGTCTGATAATCTTGAATTTAAACACTCTGTAAACAAAGTAAAAATCTGTATTCTATTGGAATAAAATTCAAATAAACATTGCCTATCTGATTTAAACTAATCTTAGTCAAATTAACTTATGACACATTGAATCAGAACCATTAAATATGTAAAAATATTTTAAAAATCAGCCATATGTGAAGATGAAACTAAACTCTGTAAACGTGTCCCTGATTAATAACTACTCTGCTGCAGCTACTCTTTGGTTTGGCAAAGTGATACTGGTCAGATACCTCAGGGACTGAATGTAAGTTTGTACCAGGTAAAATCAAGTCTCCTGTCTACTTTTTTTTTTTTTTAATGGCAATGGCAATACCTGAAATTCAACTTAATATCCTTAAATGTCATCACATTTGTTCAAATGTTTGAAGGACCAAAGACAGTACTAATAAATTTTCACAGGGTTTCATTTTGATCTTTCTCCCCAAAGAGTGACAGCACTAACCAATACCAGTTGAAATACCAAAGAGGCAGCTGGTTCCTGATTCCCACACTACACCAGTAGGCCCTTACTGAAGAGTAGTGAATGTTTATGAATAAACTCAGCCAAATATTATTCAGAATGTGTTAAAATGTTGGCCATTAATTAAACCAAAGGTAATTAAAAGGCTTTCATTGAAAATTTCTGAAAAGGTGTTTACTACACTATTAGAGATGATATTGAATAACAGAACTTAAAAGAAAGATTACACCACCACAGAAGTGCCTGAATACACTAAGGGGGTAAATTGTTTCCTCACTTGTTAATCAGGTGCATGCAATCCTGATCTAGATGTAGAAATACTCATGAACAGTGCCAGATCATTTCTGAAAGTATTAAGTTTAAAACATTGACTATTTATCATATGGAAATTGCCAAAATGATGATTTTGGTTGGTAACTGGTATCACTCATTTAACCCTCATACTTAAATGTTTTTTAGAATAAAGATTATCAAGACTACAGAGGTGAAATAAAGGCAGAAGAATCCATATTATATATATATTTTTTCAATGTCTCCCCATTCACAATACAGACCAGGCAAAGAGCCTGAGCTGAGGTATATATGGGGAAAGTTTACTCTGCCTCCTATTTCTGTACAGTCAGTGTAAGAACACAGCCTATGGTAAGCACCAGGAGGCCCATATTATATTTTTTAAGCTACCATATTCCTTCAGTTCAAAGGGGAAACTTCCTTTTAAAATCTAGTATTACTATTTAGTCAATGGAATTAGGCAAATCCTATAAATTGTAAACCTGGAATAGTTTATTATAAAACTTATGTGGAAAAAAAATAAAATGTATATGACATTAAGAAAGTATATAGCTATCCCTAGTATACTGTTTGATGTATAGAAGGTACTCCAGAAGTATTTGTTGGATGAATGAAAAGTAAGGTGATTTTGCAAAATCAGAAATCAAAGAATGTTAGAGGTCATCCAGTCCAAGTCATTGGTATCACCCCGTCCTCTCAATCCTATGTTACAGATAAGAAAACTATAATCCTAGATAATTATAGATTCTGGTTAACATTTAGCTCTGATGGCATGGCTCAGTGATTGAGCATCAACCTATGAACTAGGAGGTCACAGTTTGATTCTCGGTCGGGCACATGCCTGGGTTGTGGGCTCCATCCCCAGTGTGGGGTGCAGGAGGCAGCCAATCAATAATTCTCTCTCATCTCTGATGTTTTTATCTCTTTCTCCCTCTAAAATCAATAAAAATATATTTTTTAAAAACATTTATCTCTATCCACTACTGGAAGCAATCAATTATTTTGGTTCATGTGTGTATTTGACTGACTAGTATAAATAAGGATTGACATTTTTACATTGTTTCTCCTTTGTAAGATATTGAATTTTTATTTATAATTAACTAGAGGTGGAGGGGTCCCTCAACATGGCCCGTGCCCAGCTGGCAATCTGGGATCCCTCCGGGGATGTCGGATGGCTGTTTTTGGGCCGAACCCAAAGTAGTGCACAAAGCGGCCGGGGAGGAGCCAGACCTGGGCCGGGGATCACGCTGCTCCCACTCATCCTGGCCCCACTGCACCTGCTGTGAGCCTGGCGTCTGATGCCTGTCAGTCAGCTGAGCGGCACTCCCACTGTGAGAGCACACTGACCACCAGGGGGCAGCTCCTGCATTGAATGTCTTCCCCCTGGTGGTCAGTGTGAGTCATAGCAACTGGTCACTTAGGGTTTTATATATATTGTATAGATGCAACATTTCTTGCCCCTTAGACTGGATTTCAAAAGGAAAAGAGGGTGTGTGTCTAGGTAGAAAGATGTTGCTGTTTAGTCAGATTTAGTATTTTGGATTTATGAGTGGAATCCATCTTTCAGAGACTGGAAGTTTTAAATGACTACTCAGGTTGCCTGACTGGTGTGGCTCAGGGGTTGAGAGTCAACCTATGAACCAGGAGGTCATGGTTTGATTCCTGGTCAGAGCCTAGGTTGTGGAGCCTGCCATTGGCCAATATTTCTGAGTGCCTTTGTGTTCTCCTGTATGTATACTAATAAATTTTTTTTAAAGTAATTATAAATCAGAGAGAAACAAAAGTATTTTTTATAATGCCAAGTTTCCTTTAAGCCTTGGGCACAACACTATACAACATTGTTGTAGTAATGCTTAGAACTAAACCTTCAATGAATTATACAAATGTGCTCCATGTTGTAAATCATTATATTTAGATATCTTAATCCTTCTGAGTGTTATTGTATAGCCAACAATAAAAAATCTTTATTAAAAATGTTGAAAAGTATAAAACAGTACTTATAAATGATCAAACACCCAATTTTTAGAAAGCAGTCATTTCCTTTTCCCTAGATAGTACAAGCAACAGTAATTTGGATATTATTATTCAGTTTCAGCCACCATGCTATCCTAGATGTTCTTTACTTAAGAGAATTTGTTAGCTTCTGTTTCTGGAGTGAAAATTCATATAGACACCAAGAAACAACTCCGATAATGTAACTCAGGTATCAAAAAAAAATACATATGCCATGTTAACATGTGATCCGACATATTATAGCATTTCATAACAATAAGTGTTATTTGCAAAGTAAAATCAAGTCACTTTTGCAGCTTTAAGTCAATTCTGGACTTAAGATTAAGGCATCTTCCTGCTCTGCAGTAGCGCTTCTGTGGATCCAGGGATCTGTACAAAGGCTTCCTTTTTTGAAAAAATATATCTTCTGTTTTACTTCAATTATTTGATCCCATTGATAATTTTCTTGCAAATAATACTGAAAATATCAGTCCATGTTTTTATAAACCTATAAAACCAGAAACAATTGAGTTATTGGTTAAAACTTGATTTTATATTTCTGAAAACAAGATTTATTAAATGGTTCTCTGGGCTAAGATATAAAGCTAATATAACAAGATAAGAAATAAATATTTTAATATTACTAAACTGTAGTAATAATGATTTTTGTAAGCAGTAAATAAGGGATATCACTGACTTTCTTCCTCTGAAGGATCAAGAAAGCATTTTAAAAGAGAAAGAATCTCAGGGTTCTCCCTTACTGTTAACTTGGACATAATCTGAAGAGTCATCTTATCCACACCTTTCTAAGGCTGCTGAAAGGATGTAGGGAAGACTCACAGCAACAGTTCTAGGAACTTTAGCTGGGGATTCTCAACCATCACAGGCAGCAGCCACTATTCTGCCTATATTAAGAAGAAATGAAGCCAGGACTGAGGCCCAACTGCTGTACCACAGTTCTCAGTGGCACTGACAGGTGCTCCTGCTGTTCATCTTCTGAGTCCAGCCTGCTCCACCTGACATAAGCCTGGCCAGAGTGCCCATGTTCTGATTCTGTCTGGGTCTCAGGCTCTAGGTTCTTGGTATGGAACTGAATGCTCAATGCTCACGACAAATGCCTGCAAGGAAGCAAAGGCTTCCTTAAGACTGCAGATGACAACCCTTTAAAAAAAAATGAGCTCATGACAACAGGAACTATGGTAATGAATGTGTGTTGTCTGAAGCTGCTAGGTTTGTGGGCATTCATTATAGGCAGTGGGTAACTAAGTTTGTTAAAAATTGAACACCTTCACAAGATGCTACTAAGCACGGAGCTCAGCTACTGAATGACTGCAGACAGCTGCATCCTTAACTTTAGCATCAGGAGAGACTTCACTACATCCCTGCAGTTCAACTTGAGGTTAGCAATTATCCTCACTGCTCAGGCTGCAGATCCACCAGGACGGTCTTCTGTGGCTCCTGTCTCTGGACACACAGTAAAGAATAGCTTATCCATGTACTTGCCTATAGAGTAAGCTGCTCTTTTACAAAATAAACAACATTTTTTCAGACTTTAGTGTTAGTCACTCTTCTCTGGATCGAATTTCTTCAATAGTAGGCAAGTCACATTTTTTGTCTATTGTCACTGTAACAAGGTTATTTATCCCTGTAAGCACATAATTATATTTGATCCGATAAAAAATGAATTCAGTTGCTGGCTAAACAGCAAAATTGATGATTAAAGTAAAAGCAACTCTTATATAAGCACTAAATAGGTATATGGTGCCAACCATTTGTCTTCTTGTAGAACCTAGAAGCAGTGCTAAGAGCTGAAAGTCTAGTTTTATGCTTTTTAAATTATTTATTTATTTTAAAATATGTTTTTATTGACTTCAGAAAGGAAGGGAGAGGGAGAGAAACATCAATGATCAGAGAGAATCATTGATCAGCTGCCCCCTACACGCCCTCTACTGGGGATCGAGCCTGCAACCCGGGCATGTGACCCTGACAGGAATCGAACCTGGGACCTTTCAGTCCGCAGGCCAACACTCTATCCACTGAGCCAAACCGGCTAGGGCCCACGGCTTCTTTATTTTGTTTTGTTTCCATTGTCATGAAATATCTTTTTTCATACTTTTACTTTTAGACTGTGTATGCCTTATGATCTGAAGTGAGTCTCTTGCAGACAGCATAAGTAAGGGTCTTATTTTATTATCCATTTCAGTTACTGAATATCTTTTGATTGGAGCATTTAACCCGTTGTATTTTTAAAATACATTTATTTATTGATTTTAGAGAGGAAGTGAGAGAAATAAGAAACATCAAAGATCAGAGAGAGAATCATTGATCTGCTGCCTCCTGCCCCCCCTCCCCCACCCCAACTCCCCACACCTTACCAGGTATTGAGCCTACAAACTGGGCATGTGCCTTGACTGAGAACTGAACCATGACCTTCTGGTTCATAGGTCAATGTTCAACCACTGAGCCACTTGGGCAGGTGGCATTTGCATTTTTTAAAAAATATATTTTTATTGATTTCAGAGAGGAAGAGAGAGGGAGAGATAGAAACATCAGTGATGAGAGAGAATCATTGATTGGCTACCTCCTCCAGGCATGTGCCCTTGACCAGAATTGAACCCAGGACCCTTGAGCCCACAGGCCAACACTCTAGCCAATGAACCAAACTGGCTAGGGCCCATTTGCATTTTAAAGTAATTGTCAACAGATATGTATTTACTGCCATTTTATTATTCATATTTTTGATGTTTGTTTTTTTTCCTCCTTCTTCTTAAAGAAGACCCTTTAATGTTTCTTGTAATACTGCTTTGGTGGTAATGAACTCCTTTAGATTGTTCTTGTCTGAGAAGTTCTTTATCTGTTCTATTCTAAATGACAGCTTTGCTGGGTTGAGTAATCTTGGTTGTAGGTCCTTGCTTTTCATCACTTTGAATATTTTGTGCCAGTCTCTTTTGGCCTGCAAAGTTTCTGTTGAGAAATCAGATGACAGGAATAAGGGAATTCCCTTGTAGATAACTAACAGCTTGTCTCTTGCTGCTTTTAGAATTCTTTGTCTTTAATCTTTGGCATTTTAATTATAATGCCTTTGTGTGGGCCTCTTTGGGTTTATCTTGTTTGGGACTCTCTGCGCGTCCTGGACTTGTATGTCTATTTCCTTCACCCGGTTAGGAAAGTTTTCCATCATTATTTTTTCAAACAAATTTTTAATTCCTTGCTTTCTCTCCTCCTTCTAGCACCACATGATGAACTGTTGGTATGCTTGAAGTTGTCCCAGAGGGTCCTTACACTATCTTCTTTTGGGGTTCTTCTTCCTTTTTGCAATTCTAAATGCATATTTTCTGCTTCCTTATCTTCCAAATTGCTGATTTGATCCTCTGCTTCATCTACTCTACTGTTGATTCCCTATAATCTTTTTCTTCACTTCAATTATTGTATTCTTCATTTCTTACTGGTTCTTTTTTTATAATTTCCATGTCCCTTTTCATGCTACTGAAGTTCTTGCTAAGTTCCTTGAGCACACTTATAATCATTGTTTTGAACTGTATCTGGTAGACTGCCTTCATTTCATTTAGTTCTTTTTCTGGAGGTTTGCCTTGTTCTTTCATTTGGGTCATGTTTCTTTGTCTCCTCATTTTGGCTGCTGCCCTGTGTTCCTTTCTATGTTTTTGGTAGAGCTGCTATATCTCTGGACTTGGTAGAGTGGCCTCATGTAGTAGGTGTCCTATAGGGCCCAGTGGAGCAGCCTCCCATCACTTGATCTGGGCACTCCAAGTGCACTCTGTGCACTGTCCTGTTGTAATTGAGTCTTGATTGTTTTTGGAAAATCACTGGTAGGGACTGACCCCCAGGCCGATCAGCTGCAAAGACCAGCTGAGAGGACAGGCTTTCACTACAGTGGAGAAGCTGCTGTGCAGGGGCCGATCCTATAGAGCAGGACTTGCTTTAGTGGGGCTTTGGTGCCTGTGACCCCTACCCCTTGAGTGTGTCACTTGTAGAGGTGGTTGGGTTGAAATCTGGGGTGGTCTGGTGCTGTCCACTGAGTGCACTAGTTCTGGGGCCTCCCAAGAGGTGCAAGGTCAGCCACCGCCTGTGCCCTGCCAAGGGCCACCCAGCATGAGCTACAGAACAATCTGTAGTTGACTGCTAGTTGTGCTTACTTGGAGGTGTCTAGAGGAGAGGCCAAATTGCAAACCAAGGCTAGCTGCCACTAGTATCAGGCCTGGGGCTACTTAACAAGGAGTACGAGGTAAACAGAGGCCAGATGCTGCTTGTTTGAGAGATTTTAGAAATGTCCAAAGCATAAGCCAGGATATGGAAAAGCCACTAGAAAGGGATTGGATGGGCCTGCAAATGGGAAGGTGGAGTTGGGGGGTCTCAGCAAATCACCAGGGTGAGGCCAACAGTGTTAGCCAGTGTTGATGGGATTCAGATATGGTGTCCACCTGGGGATTTTGAGGGGGGAGGGCTCAGAAAAGGAACAATGACCTCTGCTGGCACTTCTATCTGGAAGAAAGTTGCACCTCCAAAACTTACCCTGCAGTCAGACAATTCAGTCCCTCCCTGTACATCCCCATATGGCATCTTTTGAGTTGCTGCTCCAGCATTGGGGCTCAGAGAAAGTGAGTCTAAGTCCTTTAAGAGGAATACCTGGACACCAGGAACCCTCAGCCTCACTAAGCCACAATTCCCACTGGTTTTAACAGATAGAGAAGTTATGGGGACTGCTCCTCCTGGCACTGGAACTCTAGGCTGGGGGTTCTGATGTGGGACTGGGATCATCACTCCTTAGGGGGGACCTCTGCAGCTGAGATATCTCTTCCAACTTTTAACCGCCATCCCTGAGTATGGGACCAGCCCATTCCACAACCCCACCTTTCCTACCAGTCTTGATGTGGCTTCTTCTAATATATCCCTAGTTGTAGGACTTCTGTTCAGCTAGATTTCAGGCACTCTGAATGATGGTTGTTTTGTATTTTAATTGTAATTTTGATGTGGTTGTGAGAGATTCTGAGTACCACATTTACCTATGCTGCCATCTTGACCAAAACTCACCTTGTTTAAGATTTATTCAGAATTATGCCAAATGAACTTTCGATGCCTGAGTTAAAGAAATACATGTCTGGGTAACAAAAACAAACAACAACCTATCTGTGAACAGAACAAGACACAGCAGCAGCCACTACACTTCCTCACTGAACCCCCTTCTCCATAAAATCTACCAATAAACACTAACACCCCGTGTGTGTGTGTGTGTGTGTGTGTGTGTGTGTGTGATATTTTATTTAAAAGTTTCACATATTTTAGTATTTTATGATTTTTATACAGTAATTCAACCTGGTGAATTTATTTTAACCAGATGAAGTGATGTTTTCAGATGACAAGTATTACCTGATCTGACAGTACCTTCTTCAGATCCATTCTCTGTCCATTGAGATTCACTGTCCAGCAATCGGTTTTTTGATTCACTAAGTGGTTTGATAGGAAAGGGTTGATTTGAGCCAATACTGAAAAGAAGAGCAAACAAGTTAGTAAATAGTTTAATGCTTAATTAAGAACACTAAATTAGCCTGGCTAGTGTGACTGAGTGGCTGCGCATCGACCAATGAACCAGGAGGTCACAGTTCAATTCCTGGTTAGAGCATGTGCCCAAGTTGAGGACTCAGTCTCCGGTGGGGGGCGAGGGGGCATACAAGAGGCAGCTGATCAATGATTCTTTCTCATCATTGACATTTCTTTCTCTCTCTCCCTCTTCCTTCCTCTCTGAAATCAATAAAAATTAAAAAAATAATTAATAAGCAGAAAATTAGTATTCCTTCTCCTAAACATGAGGCCAAATCATAAGATCTCAGCACTCTGAAAAAAACAACTCAATCTTCAAAAGAAAAATATGCCCACACCCTCATTAAATGATTCTCTAGATCCAAGAATCTGTACTCCAACTGCCAATGAAAACAATTAGGCAAAAGAAAAAAGCTTCAGAGGCCAGCCTGAAACATTTTTAACATATGTTAATCAAGAGCCATAAGGTAGCATTAGGATAGGTCTGTGTGGCCAGTACAAAAAAATTACCTGTCATCTTTCAAGTTTTCTGCTTTCTATCTTTGCAGTTTAGATCTAAAGGGAAAAAATGATTAAGTGATTTAGTGTAGACTTATTTTTCTAGCTAACAGATTAGGAAGAGAGGGAACGGAGAATGAAAGAAGAAGGAAAAGGGAACTAATATGTTGTATACCTATTATGGGCCAGATACCTGTGCTAGGTGCTGTATATACATTATTTCAACCTTTGCAAAAACTGGAGGTAGGTATATAGCTGGAAACTGAGGCTCTGACAGTTTAAGTAATTTGTTGACCCATAATAAATGTTGGAGGTCTAAGGTCTTAGCTAAGGCCTACATGCTTTTGATATTATATGCAAACTTGTAATTAACAATCTCTTCTCCCCACAATTAATTTCTGTAGTAAGTTCCAACTATTTCGCTTTGACAGAGTATCCCTCTCTCTCTTTTTAAAATTGATTTTGGAAAGAGAAGGAGAAATATCGATTTGTTTCACTTATTTACGCATTCATTGGTTGCTTCTTGTATGTGCCCAGACCAGAGATCAAACCCACAACCTTGGCTACCATGATGATGCTCTAAACTGAGCTACCTGGTAAAGACCAGAAGTATCTTTATCTTCTCTGAAATTTCATTTTCAAATGAATTACTTTGAATGTATGGATCAATTTGCTTGCCATACAAATACTGAGAAAATATCCTCTAAATGAATGAATGAAATTTTATATTTTTTGAATTCTCAATCTCATTTTCACACTACAGTTAAAATCTGTTTATAAAAATAAAATGGTGAATAGAGAAATGACTAATTTCTTTGTAGAAAAAAACTTACATACACCAATTTAATCAAATCTCAAAAGAATGTATTAGTTTCTAGGAAAATGCAGCACATTTAGGGGCAGCCTTGCTTCCTAGTTTGCCCAGACATTTCCAGTTTTATGTGATTATTCTGGTTCAACTACTAAGAGCAAGCATTCCCTTTCTTACTTTGAAAAGTATTCTGGTTTGGATTAACCCTAAGTTAAAAATTAGCCCTGGTCAGTGTGGCTCAGTTGGTTGTGGTATCATCCCGTACATCGAATGGTCATGGGTTTGATTCCCAGTCAGGGCCCATACTCAGGTTTTGGGTTCGATTCCCTGTTGGGGTGTGCACAGCAGGCAACCAATCGATGTTTCTCTTTCACACAGTTTTTCTCTCTCTCTCACTTTCCTTTCTTCTCTCTCTAAAATCAATAATAAGTTCAGGATTAAAAAAATATTTAAAAATATATTAAAAATTATTTAGATGTTCTCTTTTGCTATGTATGCTGGCTTACTAAATTACTACTGTATTTATAAGACATGTTTGTATCACACACACACACATATATTTTGTTTTACAATGAATACTGAAAAACATAATGACAAGAAGCACACCTTCTGGCATATTCATTTTGGTTTGTAACAGAAGCTTGTTCTGGATCCATTCCCACAAGGCGAGTTGGAAAACTGCAACCATCACCCAAACTGCATAATAAAAAATATCAGTAATATTTTAAATCATATTAAGTTAAATCAACGTTGTCAAGTTTAACTCCCATTTTTCAGAGACCTGGTATAAGGAAATAACTTTTCATTTCAAACAAAATTTCCTAGTATTTCTAATTAAGAGGGTGATTAACCTCCACTGAAAAAAAAATCCACCTTTTTCTTTTATAATTTACATAGATTTAAAAAGAGAATCTTCCATAATATTGTATGCCAACTATACTTTATTTACTGAATGCCTATGATATTCCAGGTACTATTTTAAGTGCTAAGGATCTGGCAGTTAATGAGAAGGAAATCTCTGCCCTCAAAACATTACAATCTAAAAAATGCAGATATGCTTACTTTCACATTTTAAAAACATCAAAATTGTGTATAACAAGAACTTTCACTTCCATCCAAGATGAATTAACTACAAAATCTGATTTTTCAGTCTTAAACAACCAGAAAACTGAATAGTATATACAATACTGTTTTCAAAACATCATAGAACTGTGCCTTGTGAAAGAAGAGAACTGACCGAGTGAGTTCCAGCCTTTGCCAGGCCAGGAGGGGACACAGAGCAAGGTAGTCTCACTGATCTGAGGTGACAGAGATAGAAATTTCTAAAGTTAAGGCAGCTTAAATCTATCAGATAGAGCTGAAGAAGAGGAAGAAATGCTGAAGCACAAGAAACTGTATTGATGATAACTCCCTACCAAAAGAAAAAGAAAAAAACTGTCTGCCTTCTTTAAAGGGAGACAAAATTTAAACACTCAGAATTCAAAATGTCACTCATCCAATAAAAAATTATTGGATGAAAAGTAGCGTGAAAAGTAGCAAGTAAATATAAACAGAAGAAAAAAAGTCAATAAAAAAGAAGTTGAAACAAAGACTTTAAACTACAGGAAAAGTGAGAAATGAAAATGTAAGATATAAAAAGAACCAAATTGAACTTGTAGAGCTGAAAAATATCTGAAATGAAAAATTCACTGGATTAGGTAACAGTTGAGTAAACATTATAGAAGATCATGAACGTACAAACATAGCAATAGGAACTATTCAATCTAAAGCAAAGAAAAAAGATGGGGGAGGGAAAAAGAGGGGCAGGAGAGCAATGGCCTGTGAGTCACAAACAATTTAACATAGGTATATTTATCAAGTACCAGTATCTGAAAACGTAGTGGGGGGAGGGCATGGGAAGAGGTAGAGCAGACAGCAAAAACAACTGAAGACATATGATGAAAATTATTCAAATATGATGAATACTATAAAGTCAGATTTAAAAAGCCTAATGAATTCTAGAGAGAATAAACACAAAGAAAACCATCCCACCAAACATTATCATCAAACTGCCTAAAACCAGTGATAAAGATAAAATCTTCAAAGTAGCCAGAGGGAAATTTATAAACACTGCAATAAAGGTAAGAGTGGGGCTCATTTTTTTGTTCCTAAGCCAGAAGATAATAGAACATTAAAAAAATTTTTGAGATACAGAGAGAGAGAGAGAAACATTGATCTGTTGTTTCACTTATTTATGTATTCATTGGTTGATTCTTTTTCTTCTTTTTTAAAAAAAAATATATTTCTTTATTGATTTCAGAGAGAAAGGGAGTAGAGAGAGATAGAAACATCAATGATGAGAGAGAATCATTGATCGGCTGCCTCCTGCACGCCCCGCACTGAGGATCGAGCCCACAACCCAGGCTTGTGCCCCTGGCCGGAATCGAACCTGAGACCCTTCCGGTCCGCAGGCTGACGCTTTATCCACTGAGCCAAGCCAGCCAGGGCTCTTCTTCTTTTTTTTGGTTAATCCTCTACCTGAGAAATTTTTTCCATTCCTTTTTTTGGGGCGGAGTGGAAGGGAGGGGGAGAGACACCAAGAGAGAAACATCTATGTGAGAGAGATATCAATTGTTTGCCTCCCACACATGCCCAACCAGGGCCAGGAATCAACCCTACAACCAACGTGTGTGTCCTTGACCGGAATCAAACCCAGGACTCTCTAGTCCAGCCGTGGGCAAACTACAGCCCACGGGCAAATCCGGCCCCGTTTGAAATGAATAAAACTATTGAAAAAAAAGACCGTATCCTTTTATGTAATGATGTTTACTTTGAATTCATATTAGTTCACACAAACACTCCATCCATGCTTTTGTTCCGGCCCTCTGGTCCAGTTTAAGAACCCATTGTGGCCCTCGAGTCAAAAAGTTTGCCCACCCCTGCTCTAGTCCATGGCCAATGTTCTATCCACTGAGCCAAACTGGTTAGGGCCATCGGTTGACTCTTGTATGTGCCCTGACTGGGGATCAAACCCACAAAATTGGTTTATCGGGACAATGCTCTAACCAACTGAACCAAGCAGGGCCATGGAGCCATATTTTTAAAGAAAAGAGAAAAACAAAACAAAACACCTTAATAGTGAAATATCTGTTTAGAAAAAATAACCTTAAAAAAAAAACTCTGTTTCAACTACAGTGGAAAAACCTTGCAATACAGAAGACAAAATATAACGTACACAGAAGAAGTTGGCTCTTGAAAATATAGCAATAGGATTTACTCGATGACACACAGAAAAAAGACTACACAAAAAAAATGTACAGTGCATCAATCAATAAGCTGTGGTTAGAACTTCTTCGAGTGGATAAATGTAATTGGAGTCCCTGCTGTAATGAGGAGAGGGGGATGTCAGAAGAAATAGTTGAAGAAAAATAGTTGAAATATTTCCAAATCTAATAAAAGTTATAAAATCATATAACTGGGAAGTTCATTCAATCCTAAGCCCAAGAACACAAAGAAAATTATACCAGGGGACAACAAAACCCAATTTCATGAAACTATTTACAAATAGAAAATCTTAAAAGCAGCTGGAGAAAAAAAAGACACATTACATATTCATTAAAAAAAAGAATAGGGGGAGAAACCAAGATGGCGGCATAGGTAAACACTGGAAATTGCTGTCTCGCTCAACCACTTCAAAAATACAACTAAAAGACAAAACGGACATCATCCAGAACCACAGGAAGGCTGGCTGAGTGGAAATTCTACTAGAAGGAAAGAGAAAAACACACTGAGACTCAGAGGAGATGCGGAAGTGCAGAGGTACGGAGGCGCACGCGGCAAGGGCTGGCAACTGAGGACACGGCTGTCTTTTTGAATCGGGAGGGAGTCACAAGCCCCCGACTGCTCTGAACTCAAG